CGGTTTTCTTTGTGACGCATATATGCAGAGTCCACCTGTCGCCTTCTGGTTGAGGACAGCTACACTGCACCTCGCTGAGTATAACTTGCATGCAGTGGTGAGTATACATACACGGTATTGCATATAAGCACGCTTACATCGCGTACTTGGTTCTTTTATCAAGACAATTACGAAGTTATACAGAATTTTGCAAAAACGGCTCCCTGAGCGCCGTCATAGTCACTTCTTAGTAGCGCGAATTGGCGTGACCCCCTAAAAATGCACTGCCGAGACTTCGACGTCATCCTTTGTACTCCCGCGGGCAGCCCAGCAAGGCGGCGTTTTTTCTCTGCTGTGAAAAGGTCTATAACAAATGTGTTATAGGTTTGTCGTCCCTTTCAGAAAGCGCCATATCGTTAAATTTTAACGTAACCAGAATGAGGAAAGAATAAAGGAATGAACAAGAGAGAAAGGAAATGCAGGGATGTTAAGGACCGGTGTAATACCCTACACTGGGGAAAGGAGTGGGGAAGCTTCAAGGATGGTTGAAGAGAGAGGAGAGCGCCCACACGCAATCATACTACACAGTTATCACACCACATTAAGTATAATCGCCGGTTCAAGTTTGCTGCCTTCAAGAAATCGAGCAGCGGCTTCGTCACTTTCACCCACGATCATTGGCGTAACCAGGGGGTGGCACTCCGGCCCATGACCCCCCCCCCCCCACACACACACAAATTGTTTTTCACCATGCATGCATACCGCAAAATGCTTATTTGCCTGCCCGGCCCCCGCTTTAGATCAACGAGGGCCCAGCCCCCGTCCCCGCGCCCCAATAGAAAAAAAAAAACTTCTTCATACAACCCTGCCCGCGATGATCCCTCAGACAGACATTCCAGAATGGTTTAGACACGGCCGAGACGTTAAACTCCTATTACTATTACATGGCGTCGTACACAACTTGCAATAATAGAAGATAAAAAAAAAAGAACGGATGCCACGGGGACCAGACCAAAACGAAATATATATATGCTAAACGAAAACGAATTACTTGCTGCGTCTGCACTGCATTCCACTGCATGGTACTGTAAGTGGCCACAAATGCCATTATCCACATATTTAGTTTTTGCAATGTCCGAATGTAAGAACCATTTGTTTTTTTTTTCTCGAATGTAACAGATAAGTAGACGATTTGCAAGTAGTACTTCGTGGTTTGAAACTCGGACAAGATATGTTTGGAGAGAAAACTTCGTCCATCACGATTCAGTGAAATACTAAAGTTTCCTCGTACAGCGCATATATCACACGATAAATGTGGATGAACATTTCATTTTGATAAGTCCAGTTCTATGAGAATTTTAATTACTGGTGCTTCTACCAGTTCTCTACAAGATTTTTTTTTCGTAACCGCAGGTGTGTGCACAAAGTGTGCGTGTGTGTGTGTGTGTGTGTGTGTGTGGGGGGGGGGGGGGGGGGGGTGATGAAGAGGGATAACTTTTGCACCGAATTTCGATTGTCATGGCATCTGTGGTGGAGCGTATAGTGGAGCGTGGATGAGAACTGCACCCGCCACTAGGAGGTCGGGACAACTTCACTCATAGAAATTCAGCCGCATGCCTACACTCGCTAACACTTTTGAAGGTCTCAGTCAAACAATACTACTACTGATTAGCGTTCGTGAAACAACCTTTGCACCTCGAGCCACGGAATGTTGGATAACACACGCGAACCTCTTCGATCATATCACCTGCAACGAAATGCAACGGAAGAACAAGGCGGGGGGCGATGCCTTCTTTCGTAATAAATCAGGATGTGCACATGGGTATGCCGCACGAGGCAAGGTCGCGCGTAATGAATAGGCAAGCAAACAAATGCAAGGAAGGCTTATGCTCTCCCATAGTAGAGTACCTGGTACTCTAAATCGTTACCCACTTTTTCTAACCCCCAGGAAGCAGTGCATATATATTGGATGGTGACAGAGGCGTCACCATCTGTTGCCGATTGATGTGCATATGAATCAATGTAAATGTCTTAGAATTTAAAAAAAGGCTTGAGAGTTTTCATTTCTAAGAACCCTCAATGGGCAAACGTGTCCAACAGCCAACTCGTACATACAGGGGTGTACTGTTGGGAAGGAGGGGGTGGGTTATCAGGAGCACGGTGCTCCTCCCGCCTATTCGTGTAAAGGAGCAGCCAATTTCGTCTTATACATTTACTCGGTCGGACATTTCAGGTCATTTTTTAATGCGCAAGGTTATGATTAAGAATTATTTTTGACGTTAATAGCGGCCTTGGATGCTGCGTTCTAAATAAAATTTACTTCCCAATGGCCGGGAATATCGCCGGGTATCAATGACGCCTTTCGTGAGAAGCCCGTCATGGCTTTATTTTATTTTTTGAATCTATTCATGCGCTAGTTTTTTTTTTCACTATTATTATTATTTCGGACTCGATTACCGGGAAGAGGGTGGCGCTGATGTGAGATTTGGCCCAAAGCCACGGGGGCTTTAACTTCGCCGCCTCCTAAAGGAGAACCCTGCGCACATAGTTTTCATTGACGTCACCGTGGCCGCCATATTAGGGCTCCCAGCTGGTTGAGATGCTGCTTGAGCTCAAACGATGAAATCATATTAGCATAAATCACCGATGCGCCGTCGCAGCTCGTGAACAGGAAAAAAGTGGGGAGAACACAAAAGAACGCGCAGACCGAACGGCTCCGTATTAGCTCACTTTATCCATGTCCTGCTCTGCACTTCCACTCTCTAATGAGATAAACAGTCATGGTTCACGTCATCGTAGGGCCCCCAGCACAGAAAGCCTGCTTGTGACGTCACGTGAAAACTTTGACGGCGGAGCCCTGTGCAGGGAGTTGGTTACAGGTATACATCATCACATACAGTCACAGTTTTGTCTTCTGACAGCACTGCATAAAAATGTGGCTGGCTTCACTCTGAAGTGTCATTTTAGGACGTTAAACACCACCAATAATAGTTACTACTAGAGTGTACTATTATTCCGCACTCTGAAGTCTACCACCCCCCTCCCCCATAGGCATTCCGTTCTCCGTCCATGTCCCTGTCTGTTTTCTCGAGATCAAAACAAAGGGCTACAGAAGAAAACCTACGTTTTTCTTGGTGGGCGATGGCAGTTGGTTTTACGAGCGCTAAGCCCACTGTGTTTACCGATATTTATCTCTGATTGTAATCGTTAGTATCAAGGGCACCGCATCCACTTTATCACTGAGAGATAATCTCTCCACCGAGAAAGAAAGGGTGTAAGCGGCAGCCACTCGGTATGCATGACCTTGAAGCAACGGACGGTTGACTCTACGCGCTCATCCTTGGGTGGAGGACGGAGCTGCTAATTGGAGGTCGCAGTACACGCAGCCTGTGGCTCGCCCCTTTGTGCGCGTACGTGCCTGGGTAAGTCGCGCAGTTTGCAATCTGGGGAAACGAGACATTCACAATGGAGCGGCAAGGAAATAAGAGTGGCATAACTGATGACAACGCAAACACGAGGCGGCGCCCTGTTTCCTTCTCTGAACGGGCCAAGGACACTGCAGGCTAGACGGGCGCGATTTTCCTCTCTAGTCGAGATACGCGTTGCGCCGTTGCTTCGCCAGGAAGCGTCTTTTCGGTATTCGGAGCAAGGTTGTTGGTTCGATTCCCAGTGCGGGGTCAAAGAGGGGCAGGTGACCTGCGCTCGAGGTTTGACAATTTGCTCGAACTGTATATACGCGCAGTAGTGCACTGTATCTCGCTTTTGATCTAGCGAGATTTCAAACCCTTCTTTTAAAGATGTATCAGTGCATGATAGTAGGGCATGGGACCCCGTATTCAGGCGTTGTCAGCTGGGGCGTAGCCAAAAAGTTTTTTCGGGGGTCGGGCATAAGAGAGGGGGGGGGCACCTTTTTGATTTAGGAAGAGGGCGCCCCCTTGAAATGTTAATTTTTTCCTCTCTATGCCATGGCGAAAAAAAAAAAATTCGGGGGAGGGGTGCACGGGAAGACTTCTGGTACACTCTAGCACGGGCCTCCCCGTGTCAGCATACGCAATTTTGTTGTACGATTTTCCGCCTCCGTTTTAGGGTATAAACTGACCGACAGGGACGTTGCCATTTTTTTTTTTTTTTTGCATGGGGATGGCTGGGGATGTTCCAACATACTTTCTGTATGTTCGTGCTTACGTTTGTATGTGTGCGCGTCTATATAAACGAGAAAAAAATTGAAAAGAATGGACGAAGATCTTGAACCCCCCCTCAACCACAGCCCCCTTGGCTACGCCACAGCTGACCGAAAGTAACACACAGCTTTCAACAGCGCTACCTAGCTGCGCAACAATACACAACGCACGCTGAAATAACGATATTGAAGTCGAACAAGAAGTGTATTCACGCTTTATTTTAATTACTATCTTTTTAGGGGGGGGGGTGAATGATAAGCACAAAGCAAGATATATCCATCCCTAATACGTCCCAGAATAAATTTATTTGTGGTGTTTAACGTCCCAAAACCACCATATGATTATGAGAGACGCCGTAGTGGAGGGCTCCGGAAATTTCGACCACCTGGGGTTCTTTAACGTGCACCCAAATCTGAGCACACGGGCCTACAACGTTTCCGCCTCCATCGGAAATGCAGCCGCCATAGCTGGGATTCGATCCCGCGACCTGCGGGTCAGCAGCCGAGTACCTTAGCCACTGGACCACCGCGGCGGGGCACCTCCCGGAATGAAATAAATGAAAACTACTACTTGTAATCAAACTGAAACGGTTGATATGCTCTGAAAGCAGAATTCGTTCGTAATGCGCCAGTTCACTCGGAAAAGTAATGGTGAACAAGCACTAACAATGTCGCGTTCACGCCGCGTGAATGATAGCGTCTAAGTTCGATATAATGATCCTTGACCTCACTGAATGATTCAAAAGACGCGCGCAGATAGTTTCTCTTTTGGTGGAGAGGAAGAGAGTTTTGAGAGAGGGTAGCGGGAAATGCAAGCTGCCGTTGCCGCTCTCGCTGCCCACAAGCCGAACAGCCGAAGTCGCAGCGGTCGCGACATGACGCGACTCTCGTTCACCGTGTGCGCACGCCCTTCCCAGATATCAGCGCTGACTGCTCTTCACCTGTGTTAGTCGTCCGCTTACAACTACGGCTGTTTCCCTCGCCCGTTTATTCTCTCCCCGGTTGATGATTGCATGGTGATTGCTTTCGGAGCGCCTCGTGAATTTACAGCTGCGCCGCCAACCGCTTTCGCGGGTGTCAAGCTGTGCGGGATTGTGACTGTGCGAGCTGTTCACGGCTCTTCACTTTCGCGCCTCATCTCTTCCCTGCAGTGTGGACTGACCTTCAGCCGTTCAACGCTCTACCTGTGACATGGCGGGCTGCTTGATGTGGGTTCTGTATGTGGCTTTACCGTGGCTCATGGCTCTTACTGCGTGGCTGAAAATTGCCGACGCTGACCTCACGCTCCTGTTCAGGTCCAAGTTCGGACGTTCGATAGGTGAGTGCCCGAACTACGTCAAGTAGATGAACCTTTCTCGACGTCGACGCGCTGTTAATGCACGCGTTTTTCCTCGTGGTCACCCTGGGCTTTCCAATGACCCGCTTTTCGGGCCGCCGCCTCGCAGTTTCCTGATCTGCGATGCGTTGAAACCCTTTTCGAAGAGCTTTAGTTGGAATGTCAAAACACTGCCCGGACAACTTTCTGCTTCCTTCACATCGTAGCCCTTCGCATATTCGCACGTCTGTGTGGTAATGGCAGGAAAGTCTTCCAAGTGCGTCAGTTGTAGCCTTGAAAACGAAAAAAAAAAAAAAAAAAAACGCGCGCTCATTTCGATTGCACGAAGTGCGTCTCTCGAGCGGGTTAGAATTAAAGGAGATGAAACTAGAGTACCTCATACTGAACATTCAGTGCAGACGAGCGCGCCACGGTAGTGTAACTACAAACGAAATCAATAAGAGATTCGTAGTCGCAATGTTATCTTGGGGCCACGAATACGGCGTAAAAGTAACTAGTGTAACAGAATAAATAAAAAAAATTGGAAAAGTATGGACTGGAAGGGGGCTTGTCGTGCACAGTACATCAGCTGCGACCCGAGCCGGTTCTCGCTTTTAATGCTTGCCTAGTTAGAAACGCTGAATGAGTTGACTATCACGAACTGATTAGTGGCAGATGAGACGCAAGAGTGCTTCGTTGCTTTTTGAATTGCAGCAACCCTGAAAGGCAAAGTGATATGGATCACAGGTGCATCTAGTGGAATTGGCGAGTACCTTGCATATGAGCTGGCCAAGGTAGGATCATGCCTAGTCCTTTCTGGCACCAACTTGGACAACTTGGAGCATGTGAAAAACCACTGCCTTGGTAAGACTGCTTGTATTTTTTTGTTCCTTTTTCGCACCTGCTTGATGTTACTGTGTGTGCAATTCCTTATTTAGAGGTCTTGTGGTTTATGCATATTATGATCTAGTTTCGAGATAGAACCATGTCTGTGAAGGAAGGAGATCAGCCAAAGAAAATCCTCTATCCCCAAGCATACATTTTTCTTCTGCCTATGCATACTTCAGTGCTCGCACACTCCGTAAAATGTCAATTTAAAAAAAAAGGAAAGCAATTGCTCGTTAGCACTCAACTCTAGCTTAGCTGGCCACACTTAGTTTATAATAGGAAAAATGAGAGTGCAAAATTCAGACGATACACAAGATGCTCGAAAGCAGCGCTGACTTACATTTACTTTCAATAATTGCCAACAAATCTAGAAAATCAATGCCGCCAAGTCTGGCACACAGGTAGAAAATATTACAGCTAAAACTATCTTTCAACACTTTAAAGTTGACACATCTATTTCACTTATAAACCCATAAATTTGCTAAGTTCTTCAACAAAAGCTTTTTCCGTCACTGTAATTCACACATTTGCTGCAATTTCCTTACTATGGATTGCTTTCAAAAGAGAACAAAAAATGCATCATAATGTTTATAAAATAAAACTGAATGTTATGAATTAACTCGAAAGTGCTCTAGTCTTGACATAAGCATACGGAAGATTATACAATTCCTGCACTCTATCCCCTCGTAGTGTATAGAAGCGGGTGTTTGTGTGCATGTATTGTCAAGCTGACGTAAGTACCTCTTAAAGCTGAAGCACCTCAAGGTCATATGAAAACCGTTGTTGTCGAAGCTGATTGTAATGCCTAGACTAAGTACAGCTGCAAGACATCTGTGTGCAATGCCGTCTGCAGAGCGTGCACATGGTTAAAAAAAATTAACTAAATAAAAGGCCATGACAGTGTACAAACATCGACATTTAACCAACTATCAATTAAAGCATGTCGCAGAGCAAAAGGTTCACACGAACAAAATAAGACACTGTTAACCAAAACAAAATAGAAGGCTACAACACCATAAAAGCGGCAATGCAAACAGCATGTGAACAAACAGATCTGTACAACAGCGTTATTGAAAGGTTGTTAACCAGAACAAACAAGATAAAGGGCCACAACCCCATTAAAACAGACATTTAACCACCCAACAATTAAAGCATATGACAGAACAAAAAGTTAACAGGAACAAAAAATGGCAGCATATCCACGGAGTGAATGATGGAGAGTGGGGCGAAGCATTCGTCCGTCCATTCGTTCTTGCTTCCTTCTGCCTGTGTGACCGTCCATGCGTCCATCCGCCCGTCCGTGCATGCGTCTGTTCGTGCGTCCGCCCCTGCGTCCATCTATGCATCTGTCTGTGTGTCCGTTCGTCCATCTATTCAACACTCTAAGTACCACCATCTCGCATCTTTTCATCATATATTTCCCATGTAGAAGCATCGCCATCCAGCGGAAATTCCAAGGATTAAACGAGAGGTAGCGCACGCACACTTTCTTACGGCTTGCGCTTCGGGTCTACTTCCAACCTTTAACCACCTCGAGTTCATGGTATATACTAGTTCACTGTATTCATGGCACTGCGGCCCAACGCTCGCGAAACCTTTCTAAAACCAAGCAAGTTACGCCCAGCGAGTATAACATAGCAACCTTTTCGTGTCAGATAGTGTTCAATGTACCATACGAGCACACACCGACGGCGACGAGCATCGGCAACTACAAACCTGTATCGATATGGTTTTGATTCTAAAACCATTGCTTTAAAAAACACCTGGCGTCTTTCGTTAAGCAGCTGGCATCTTCTTTTTGTTTTGCTTTAGAAACATCTGGCGTCTCTTCGTTTTGCTTTTAGAAAACATCTGGCGTCTTTCGTTGGTTTATTTCATCATACAACGGCGTTTTGAACAAAAATTTTTTATTGTTTAATCACGCACAGGAGAAATCTCACCAGGCACTACCTTGGAGGTAAATAATGGCTGCTACTGGGAATGAGAGACAGCAGAAGTCTGCTTTTAACACTTCTACTTCTACCAACGTTTCCTACTAGAACATGCCAATGACTGCTAATGGGGAATGAGAGACAGGAGCATTCGGCTTTTAGTTAACGCGCACGCCGCGAACTTTTTATTGTCCAACAAAGCACAGGAGAAATCTCCCACCGGCACCACCTTGCACGTCAAAATGTAACACTTGTTACACACTACGACGACGAGGTACGAACGGGTGCCACTTTAAGGAGCTTCGCCCCTAAAATAAAAGGCTGTTAACCAGAACAAAATAGGTGACAATCCAATGCACACTGCTTCGCCTCATCATCTTTCACTCTAAGAAAAAATGGAGTATTCGGGGAATAGTTCTGCTACACAACAATAATCGTCATCTGACTTGCTCATGTTTCCGTTCTTGAAAATAAACCTGGCGCTGGCCACTTTTCTGTCGGGATTGCTATGTCACCCTGATAATGTACTCGGCATTTGTGACCGCGAACTACTGTAACCATTGTGATGGGGCGAGAAAAGTAGTCGAAGTAGACGACAATTATTGTTGTGTAGCAGAAACTTCCCTTATGCTAGATTTTTTTTTTTTCGGTGTTGTAGATCTGCAGCAATTTTTTATAAGTTTGATGTTTTTCGATTGCTATCTTCTTCACAGTATATGAAGTATAAGGCGTAACGATGACAACGGACAGAGGGAGGTACACACACACAAAGCTGCTGTGTGTGTAGTCATTCCTCTGTCCATTGTTCTCGTTGCGCCTTACACTTCAAATATGATCAACCAACATGCCCAGTTTGCCATTCTTAGATCCTCTGCAGTCTTTTCAGTGAAATTTGTGTGCGTATAATGATACTGGTGGTGCTAGGCACAGCTGCACTTGTTAGCCTCGATGATGGTTCAACTTGGTTCAGTGCGCTGTGCTAAATACACTCATTAAATAACAAAGCTCGGCCGAGATTTTACCCATTTTAGGTGACACTGCCCAACTTGCTTGACTTTTATAGAGTTCGGGAAAGGAAAAGGCACTGAAGTCCTTGTACTCCCATTCAGCATTTGCGACTTCTCGTCACACAGTGAGCAGCTCCAGAAGGTCTTGGACCGTTTCGGCAGGGTTTGTATTCGCTTTCCCGGCAGTTACTTGTCTGTTGTAGTATGGAGGTATCTCATTCTTCTCTGCAGCTGGACATACTGGTCAACAATGCCGGGCGCAGTCAGCGTGCCTCCTTTGAGGAGATTCCTGTCGAGATTGACAAGGAGATGTTCGACTGCAATGTCTTTGGTGCTGTGTCCCTTACGCGGGTTGTTGTCAAGTACTTCAAGGAAAAGAATGTGCAAGGTCATGTTGTTGTCACCAGCAGCACGGCTGGAAAGCTGGGTAAGTGCCTTTTTTCTTCAACTCTTCTGTGCACATACGGTGGATTTCACAGGATATGTGTTTAGGAATACTGTCAATCTTTTATTGAGGGTCATTACAGGTAAGGTACAACACACTGTACAAACAAAGTAGGCACATAACTATACATCTCACAACGATAAACCAGTTATGCAGTCGTACAAACCCATAAAAGCTCTGTAATATCCAAAGGAACACACACACCTTAATTCCCAATACAACCGATAAGCATTGCAATAATCTTTATAGTAAGTCACATAAATGTAAATCAAGTAAGTGCAGAAATTCGTTAACATTAACCGTATTGACTATATTACTCGGCAACCCATTGCACTCTTCGATTACACCGGGGAAGAAAGCATAACGAGACATCTTCGTTCGCGTAAAGTAAGGTTGTAGTACTCGTGTGTGGTTTGCCCTCTTGCGTTTCCCAGGTTGTTGTACATAGTCGTTGCTGTTAATTTTGAACTTGCCTTCCATTTATTGAAAAAGAAACTAATCTATTCTTAAGTCTGCGTTCGTGCAGCATCTCCACATCAGAGCTGTAGCATTCCTGTGACTGAGTCGTTCTGCTTATATCTTGAGCATATAAAGCGAGCTGCAAGTTGTTGTATATGCTAAAGTTTATTTACGAGCACTTTCTGGTGGGGACTCCAGACAATACTGGCATGTTCCAGTATCGGCTGTACAAAAGTTTTAAAAGCAAGAAGTTCTTTGTCCATACTCTGCAGTTTATTTCTTGCACAAATTGTGTGAAGCCCTAGAGCAAGCGTTATAAATATGTGTATGCCACTTTAGGTTGCTCATTACTTTGAGGCCTAGATACCTAAATGCATCAACTGTCAACAAGGTACGATTCCTAATACAATATTCAAATGGAATTATGGCGTTTTTTTCTAATAATCAGGGTAACGGCAGATTTCGAATAATTGATGTCTATCCCCGAATATTCATGCCATAAGTGTAACAGTATTCAACTGGTGCTTCCTACCGCTCACTTGTGCGTAAATTAAACAATCATCAGCAAACAGTTTGAGCTTTGCGTGAGGTTTTGCTTTATCTGCGATATCGTTGGCACATATCAGAAACAAGGGCCCAAGAAGCAAGCCCTGCGGTACTCCATAAAACACTTCTAGTGAAGTAGACATAGTTTGCAAGCTTAATAAATTGCTTCCTGTCATTTAGATAAGCTTTAATCCAATTAATTAGAAGTTGGCAGAGTCTAACACAGCAAAGATTATTCAGTAATCTATTGCGAGGCACCTTGTCGAAGGCCTTAGCGAAATCTATGTAGATGACATCAGTTTGCTCATTCATAGCTAAAGCTGTCACAAAGTCTGTGGATAATTTCAATATGCTGTGTTGTAGTTCAGACATTATCCTAAAGTCATGCAGATAATGATAGCGGTAATTTTATTTTCCAGGAGCGAGACGATATGCTTGACAATTACAGGTTATAATATTTTGCTGCAGATGGATGCGAGTGACCCGGCGCGATAATTATTGACGGAAAACCGATCACCCTGCTTAAACACAGGGTTCAGCTACAGCTGTGCACAAGTCGGATGGCACTGAACTAGGGCAAACGGACTTTTGAAAATTAACTTACAAGTAGTAAAATATCCACTCCGCATAACACTGCAAAAAAGGTGTGCGTATTTCATCAGGCTTGCATGCTTTTTTAGAATCAAGAGACAATTAACTCTTTAATACTCGTTCTCGACTGATACTGATCCAATCGGTTCAGATGGCAGATATTACTATCAATAGCTGTCCTCCATGTCCTCCACACCCCACCTCTCCAAATTTTCTTTACTGCCCTGGCTCGTGCGGGACTGGATATCATGACTGTGGCCCGCTGGCTGAGGTTGGTTTGAGAACCCTGGTGTGGGCCAAGGGACCTCTTCTCAAGGCTCCACAACACCTATGGTGATAACTATGAGAATCACACATTTGTTTATTAGGGGTGATTAATGAATACTGTTTACAAAAGAAAATAGCGAATCTCCTGTCACCGGCTGAACATAGTTATGCAATACATTTCCCCTCCCCCTTCATTCATGGAGAGTAAACATTATCTTAGTGGTATCCTCACGATACGTGAAAATAGACCACATGCACAATATTCGTTCAGTCATGCCTTTGGCAACTCCAAACAGTTCTAAGAAAATGTTTGTGTTTAATCATTGTGCTACAATCAATATGACATTTTCCTTTTTACTGATCTTAATAATGAAGCTGCACAGAGTGAAGAAATAGCAATATGATATCATTGTAGTTCTGGCTATTGCTCCTAGTTGAGTATGTAAAAATTCTTTTTTGCCAGGTGCACCTTTCTCAGCCACCTACACTGGTTCCAAGCACGCACTTCAGGTATGTAAGATATTCTATATGGTATCAACACACACATAGAAGATGCATAGTGAAAGGGGTAGGAAGTGTGCTCCCAACTGCCATAGAGAGGGGCACCAGTGCCTGTGTGCTCTTTCAGAAGGAGGAAATAGAAATTGAAGCTGATTGGAAGAAGGAAAGTAGAGTAGTCAAATAACTCAAAACTTGTGTGAAAGTAGGAATACGACTGACAACTCTAAAATGAGTTGTGTACAAATAGGCAAAGTCTGTTACAAAAGTTAGTGGTGAATAGCAAGCCTGTCGAAAAGTGCTTCCACTTGAAAAAAGGCAATTGTCGAGCTCACAACTTTGCATAAGCTGCATTTTTATTCCGCTTGTTCTGAACAGACTTATTTTTACAACAAGATTTCTCACTGCTGCTACGCAGACATCATATATATGAAAAAATTCTTATAGTGGCATAGTGATAACTATTGTTACGTATGAAGTGAATATTTCCCAACATTGGTGTTGTGCATAGAATTAAGGTGAAGAGCTATTACTTTCTGATTGACTGTTGAAAGCTACTGTGTGTGCTTTTTGCAGCAATTTTTCGTGATCAATACAAAATTAGGGGTTGCCGATATGAAGCTTTAGCCTTATGGTTACTTATAGGCAGAAATCTGAGGGCAAAATGTAACGACATGAATAATATCAAAATTTTATGCTTCGATTTGTTCCCATGTGTATGTAGGCATGTGTATGTCTAGTAGGTTGTGGTGGGCCACGTTTCCCGAGACTTTGCTGAGCTACTTTGTCAATCCTATAGGCACTTTTTATATGCTTGAACTGCTTGTTTGTGAACTGTCTGCCTACTGCTTTAAGCATCGTGCAGCATGGGCCGTAGTATTAACAGGTTGCCAATTACATCTCCAGGGCTACTTTGAGTGCTTGCGCCTGGAAGGTGTGATCTTAGGAGGATTAGACGTCACTATTGCCTGTCCAGGACCAGTTTTTTCACGCATCCGGGAGCGTGCATTTACTGCCACCCCTGGCAAGGTGGGTGCCTCTCTTCATTCAAGTTACCAGTGCCAGGATATTGAGCATATTCTTTATTACTATTTTTTTTTTTAATTTTTACCTTGATAAAGTGGTACATAAAGTTGTTGTCAGCACCACTTCAAAAGTGCAGCTACCCTTGAGAATAAGCATATTATAATCCATTATCAGACTATGAGGAAAGAAATGAGCAGGACATGAAAGTTAGCCAGTTCTTAGACTAACTGGCTACCCTGTGTCATCAGACTATTCTGTTGCCATTGGTTGTGTTAACCCCAACATTGAGTAATTTAATACGTCATGGCAGCTGTCACAGGCATAAAATGCAAAATGAATGTAAGAAGGAAAATATTGGTTAGCACTATCATTGTAAAATAGAGCTTGCATTAACGGGGATAAAATGTCCATGATGGCAAATTAGCATTTACAGTGCTTCGCTGTTCACCCAAAGGTCAAGGGTTCGATTCCTACCGCGGTGGTCACAATTCAGTGAAGGCAACATGATAAAGGCTCGTGTACGGTGTGATTCTAGTGCGCGCAAAAGAACACCAGATAGTCGAAATTCCTGGCTCCTTCCACCTCGGCAACTGTCATAATCATATCAGAATCTTGGGATGCAAAACATTAGGTATTATTATTAACAAGAATGAAGTGCCTCGGGCACGATGTCTTGTGTTTATATAAGTGAACCTCGCTCAAGATTTTACATCATGCTTGGCGTCTTAAGGGGGGATGCGGCAATGGGAATTGTAAATTTGGTCAAAATGTTCAGTTTTTCAAATAATTTTTTTTTAGAATCTTGAGACCATGTTTTACGTCATAGTGTGATTTTAGATCAAAATAAGTCGTAGAAGTTAAGAAACAAGCATTTTACTGGTGTGCTGTTGTCAAAGCTATGTGAAAATTTCACATAGCAAAATGCAAATTTGCAGCTTTCCCTTGGCACAGCGCCACCATATTGGAATTGTCATAAAGAGGACAGATTGGAGCTCAAGATAGCCACAAAGATGCATTTCTCCAATGAAACGTAAAGCCAGCTTCCTTCCGTGTTCCGTTTTATCAGCTTCTAGCTCCAATTTCTTTGAGTTCTATTTTCTCAGATTTCATTTTTTGAGCAGTTGCTGTCAGTCATCTCTGTTCCATTTCACAACAAATTAGGCTATAGCCATGCCCCATCACGGTTGTATAGTGGCTTAGGTACTCGGCTGCTGACCCGCAGCTCGCGGAATCAAATCCCAGCTGTAGCGGCTGCACTTTCGATGGAGGCAGAAATGTTGTAGGCTTGTGTGCTCAGATTTGGATGCACGTTAAAGAACCATAGGTGGTCGAAATTACCGGAGCCCTCCACTACGGCGTCTCTCACAATCATATGATGGTTTTGGGACGTTAAACTCCACGTATAAATCAATCAAGGCTATAGCCATTCTGTTTTCTGCACTTAGAATTTGAGACATTGGTGAGTGCCGTAATGATTTTTATATGTCTGCACATCATACAGACTTTTGTTATTAGCTTTTTATAAAAGTTGTTAGTAAGACAATACAGTAAAAGCTCGTTAACTCGGATCTCATGGGACCGGAGAAAATGTCCGAGTTAACCGAATTCTAAATTATCGAACGGACCACGAAAACAAAAGGAAAACGTACACGGCACAGACAATCCTTTATTTCTTAAAAAAGTGCATTATTTTTGTCTGCGTTGCCGTCAGAATTTCTGACAGAACGATCTTATTTAATCCCATCAGGTGGTGGTGTGCATGTTCACTGTCGCGAGAACAAATGCAGAACCCCTCGAGGACAGCGAGGGCTGCGGCGGCCTCCTGCACAGTGCGGCGACGTCGCGTCGGCTCATCACATCTTTCAATATCGTAACCTTTCTTTCAAGATCATTTGCTGGCTGCTATGGCCGCTTAACTCCTGTGACGGTCACCATGAAGCGGGACGGCGGCGACAACGCGCACAAACACAGCCGCAACAGGCGAAGTCACAACACGAACGAAGACACGAAGTAGTACACCAGTAGGCGTAGCATGGGCGTAGCGAGCAGCTGTTAGTAGACACTGGATGCGCCAGTGGCCCAAGCGCTTCCGCCGGGTGGTGGCTAGCGCCACCTAGCCACTTCTCCCTCATTCACTATCATCATCGTCATATTATGCTGCAGTTCGCTCGGTTTCGGTTTCTCCAAAACTCCGCTTCTGCCGTCGGTTGCGGCAAGCGGTGCTTGAGACTCCAAGCCGCCGACATCGCGCGACTTTGGAGTCCCGATAGCCCTCTCTGGAGTTGTCCGAGATAACTGGTGCGCGGCTACATCCTTCCGAATTGGTGACCTTTTGACCTCATTGAAATATACACAGTTTTGCCTGGACCGCGCCGCGAGTCCGAGTTAACCGAATTTCCGAGTTAATGAGGTCTGGATAAACGAGCTTTTACTGTATGTCCAGGACAGTTTAGAAAAAAATTTTGTGTGCTTACCTAAATATTAAAAATAAACCTATAGCATTATGGCACAACATGGACCCTTGTAAATATCCTTGTGTGAAAATTTTGATGAACTTGTGTCTAATTAGCTAATAAATTTTGGGGCGACAATAAAAGTCTATCAAGTGCTGCAACTCAAAAGTTATGTTAGATAGCTCAAAACCAATTTCAGTTATGATATCACCATAACAAATGACATCTGTGTGCCTAATTTCATCTCTTTAGCTTCGTAAATAACAAAGATAATTTTCATTGCCACGTCCTCCCTTAATTTGAAAGGTTCAGTAACTGACATCATAATATATGGTATGGCCACCTATATCTTTAGTGCGACAGTGTTAAAGAGCTCATTTTGCGAAAATTCTCGTGTCCCAGCTGTGGTGGCTGCATTTTCGATGGAGGCGGAAATGTTGTAGGCTTGTGTGCTCAGATTTAGATTCACGTTAAAAAAACCATAGGTGGTCTCCAATGAAACATAAAGCCAGCTTCCTTCCCAGTTCAGAGTTAAAGAGCTCATTTTGCGAAAATTCTTGTGTCGGTGCCTGCGTTGGCATAGTTGGTGTCAGTGAAAAGTCATCTTTGTGTGACTGAAAAATTGACCAAGATGCAGATAAAATAATAAAAAAGTTCCGGGTGTGAGTGGGGATCGAACCCATGTCGTTTGTGTAGCAAGCGGGTGTTCTACCACACAGCCACACCTCTGCTTGTGAACACAGTGAAAATAACTTCCTCTTCTTGGAAATTCAGTGAAAGTAAATTTCATGCCTTACAAACACATACGTCCTGTATACATGCTTCAAAATACAACATGAAATATTGCCGTAATAATGTATGGTACAAGCGTACATTGCCATTGGGTGTCAGAACATGGGATTATCATAACGACTTAATAGTTTAACGTCAGTCACCCACTACAAAAGGCACACACGCTGCTGCACCCTTAAACGTAGTGGGTGCATAGCAAGTTGGAGGTTGCAATGCGGATACGTTTGAAGTGTGCACTAGGAACAGAATATCTCTAGCTTGTTATACTCTTAAACGCAGAACTTAAGGGCCTCCCAATTTTCCATCTTAAATTGAAGACACTGGAAAGGGAACTGACCTATTAATTTAATTCTTAGTTCAATTTTTTCAACATTTACAATGTGTGCTTCTGGCATTTACTTCTTGAACATAACTAATGACCCTTAGGAAATGATAAGGGCAAGAAGCCCAAATATATTTAGTGTATCGATTTCGGGCTTGAAATTTTCGACATGATGGAGCAGAATGTCGAGGCATGAAGCAGAATGTCGACAAAGTATGGTGACATTGTGTATAAAAAAAAAACGTGAAGTGCTGCTCGCATTAAAGGTTGCAAAAGTAGAGCTCTCTCGCACTTTATTGCGACATCACGACTCTTCCAGATTTGGGTATCAAAGCTGGTTCCTCGTAGCAAGTACTTCAACCCTTTGCAGTCTGGAATGTTTCGCCACCTTCTGTTCTTACTGGTGCAAAACTAAGGAAATTAAAGATGAAGTCATAAAATTTTACTTGCTCGTTTAAAGATAACGCCTAATGCAATGAGAGAACATGTGCATGAGTCAACCTTGAAAGAACTTGTTGGGCAGCACGTTGTTGGTAGGGTCCCAACAATGACCCGCAAAGGGTTAATAGACATGTTACATATCAGTTATGCAGAGCGACATGATGCTTGCCAGCACTTTTTCTGATCAGAAAGTTCATGCCTGTATTTATCATACCTATGCAGAAAATTACATACCTGCAATGCTGTGTTAGTATTGAGGGCAGGCCCTTAAACAAGGTGGGGGGGCGTGGGACCTGGTCTACCTCCACCAGGAAATTTGCGTGGAGGGAGGTGTTTTAAAGAGAGTAAATATTAAAAATACAGTCTCAAGCTCTTTAACAGGTGTTCCACGCCCTCGAAAAAAAAATCCTGGCTATGGGCCTGATTGAGGATGAGAAGGTGCTGCACGGAACCGTCTTGCATGAGAACCTCGTTAGTGATATCAGCAGTGCTTGTACTTTTGCTGTTTTGTGCGCATAGCAGCACTTAGGAGCCATAAGCCCCTGTATGTATTTGACTCAACTGTATTTGTTCTTTGCAGCTGTACAACATGAAGGACACCCCTAAGTCTCGGCTCATGCCCACTGAGCGGTGTAGTCGACTTATGGCTGTTGCCATAGCCAATAAGATGGACGAGGTCTGGATTTCTGAAAATCCTATCTTGCTCACCATGTATCTGGCACAGTATGCACCATCTATATTCAGGAAGTGAGTGCTTCAATATTTTTTCTTAATTTCTTTACATAGTTGCTGTGTCAAGCGAAGGTCTAAGTATACTTAGATAGGAATAAAAATCTGATTCTTGCATGAGGCTACAATTTTCTTGGAAGCTGCTGGAGTCAAAAGGCACAGATTTGCCCTAATTTTTGTAACATCAATATTTATTAGTGAAAAATATCTCAAGCACACGCCTTGGGGAGGTCACATTGAGCTAACAATTAGGTTAACAGTGGCCATGCTCAAAAAGTGTTGCAGGGCCCCTTTAACAATGGCTAATGCTGCGTGTTACCTAGGCTCAGCCCTTGCTGTCCCTGAAATAAACACATCAAGGCTGCGACATCTAAGTTGCTGTCATTGGTGTGTTTGACAGTTTCTTGAATGGAAAAGGTAACCAGCCTTGTTCAAGAAGTGTCTTGCGTGATCAGCTTGCTTTCAGTGAGTGTAGTTTATGGTGGTTGAAAAAGCTTAATGCGAGCAATATTAAAGAACGATGGAGGGCAATATCAACTGAAAATGCAATTTTTCAGTTTTCATAGCACGGTAATTCAGCATTACTGACATGTGCTTTAACGAAGTGACACGTTTTTACGTGCAGTAGAAATAATTTCAAAAAAGCCTCTAACGCACCTGATCCTGTGTCTGCACCGAAGTAGCTCAAGCTTTAAGTGACGGTTTCTCCAAACTCTAACCCCCAAATGCAGAGATGTTACTTGGCTCGCGACTTCAACTTAACTTGAGCAAGTCGGCGCGAAGCAAGCAGCGGACTTCAAAACGCCCAAGTCAGCCTTCGCGTTTCATAGATGCTCAGGCTGTCTTGCTTGGTCAAGTCAAGAACGAGCTTCAAAGCAGAAACACGCTGCTCGCCTGCTAACGAGGGTAATAATGAAGTTGTTCGCGTAAGGCATGCATTACACCAAAAAAAGACCATACGCTTTAAAATAACAATAAAAACGAAGAGCCACAAGCATATTCTTGCCATTTTACGGCTAACGAGCAGCACGTGGTGCCTGCCACCACAGCGATGCGCAGTGTTGCTTCTGTAAAGCGTTCGTTGCCCGCTGGTTTCAGTGGCCACCCAAATGCGGTGCGTTTCTCCATGGTTGCTTGTTTGGAGGCGAAACAAGCATCGCGTTGGGTTCTTTCGTCTTTTTTTTTTCTCAATCAAACACCATGGCATGTATTTGTGCTGACCTGGCTCACGAGGTGACACGATTTCCATGGTATTTGCCTTTCTGTTTGCCTGTGTGCATGCCTGTAATGGGCTAGGTCGCAGTTATCATGAAAAAAAAAACAAGTCCTGGGAACAAATGTGATTTGTATCCTTTTGTTGAGCTTGGTAAACGAGAGAAAAAGCGGGGGTCAGGACATAGCCCTCAGCAGAATTCTGTCTCGCGGGGTGCAGCAATGTATCGCTGCATCATGGTGATGCGGATAAAAAAACCCGTGATAGGGGCACCTCTTTTTTTATGTGTGTGTAATTCTACGTAGCGTTGTGCTACAAGCGATGCCTTTCTGAGCGAGAAACAACGCCCTAGACGGGACGAAAAGATAAACGAGGCACACGGACACAGCACAGAGTCAATTTTTTTTTTACCGAAAGAGACGGAAAACGTCGTCGTGTTATAGAAAAACAGAAATAGCCTTTGCGGTTACGGAGTCGACACAACCTGTAACGCAAGGGAACTCAGCCACTTCATAACAGTCCGCCGGCTGCGGAAAGCCCACCAGCAGCGCGTTACAGGTGCTTTGCGATGAGTAGCGCAACTTTTCCGACTGCACAGCACACTGTCGACTACGGAATGCGGACGAAATTTCCGGTGACTGGTTGAAATGTGCCAGCGCTGTAAAACCTGAGAGCCATCAGTAGCTGTAACACTGGATGCACGGGCTGTCTTCGGTTGTCCCCACTTTCACGGAGCGGCAACATAACGAGCAGCTGCCCCACGGCGTTCTTCATGAATCTGTACCTAGCATGGGATTGTTGCTCGTCGTACAACTCCATCGGATTTCCTCGGTCACCTAAAGCGGTTCCAAGAATCTTCGGCAGGCAGTGCGCCTCAAAAAATGCTACGCTTATGGCGAGGCAAGCAAACTCAAAAGCGGCCACCTTTCACGCGACGTCCATTCGAGAGGTGGCCATGTTGGAATAACGCACGAAGTCGCTTTCAAGCTAGCCCCGCAGCTGACTTGAAACTTGTCCTGACTTCGACCGAGCCAAGTCGCCTTCAAGTCATCCGCAAGTTCGAGAACGATTTATGGTGAGCGGCAAGAGTGTCTTGAGTCAAGAACGAGTCAAGTACGAGTCAAGTAACATCTCTGCATTCGGGGGTAATTTGTCGGGAAAAAAAATTTCTCTGTAATGACTGAAGCTATCAAGTGCGTACTTTTGCGATTTCTTCAATAGCATGCACCCATTCTGAAGTGAAATTGTAATGTTGCCACCAGAATTGTATTTTCGCAAACATATTTTTCTAAGCGAAAAGCCTTAAAATTCTAGTCATCGAACATCTCAATTTTTAACTAAGGAATGGTCATGCCTAAAATTATTATTTTGGTTCAGGATATGCTGGGCACATGTAATAACCAAAAGGGATTTCACCATTTTACATGCAGAATATTTTTCACAAATATTCTTTCAAAAAATAAAAATAGTAAAATGATATATTTTTTATTACTTTTAGAATGCCTTGGTGTTTTCTTGCAAAATTTTGGGGAGTGTGCTTTAAGAATGACCGAGTGAAGGGCAGTAGTAGTTGCACACCTGTTCTTCTTGTCCATTCGCCCTTAAAGGGGTGCTGCACCACTGTTCCAAGTTGCCATGGAACGAATTCACTGAGTGAGCTCTTTGTCACATGCTGCAAATGCTTTTTCTTTTTTCTCGTTCTGATCTAAGTGTTGGAAGCTAAACAGGGGGTTGGGGGAGGGGGGTATGGCAAAGGGTAGGAAAGTACATCGCGTGCGCCTTGCAATCATAGGCACGTTTCCTTTTTTTTTTTTTTTTTCCTTCGAGTGTGATCGTGCATGCACGTGTGGACAAGTCGCGGCCTCCCACGGTCGCCTCAGTGACTCTCGAACGCACCATGCTCAAATCTGCCAATGGCATGATACTTTGCCCTGTGGTACAATGATTTTGAGTATGTGGCATCATTTATTGAAAGAAGAGAAAGCCAAATTGGCCAACTTTGAGCATTTATTGTGAATTCTAGGGCTTGTGGTGCGCCTGGAATTTCACACGCGTGGTCTCGGGAGTCTCGACTACCAATCGACACCGTTTTCTGACCACACTCAACAAGTGTTGTCGGGGCTCTTCAAGCTGCCCAAAGGCTAAATTCGTTATGCATCTATCTTGTGGATTATACACTTCAGCCTTCCATAATTGGCCGTAGCTCAGTGAGCAGCCCGCTCGCCGTTTCGGCCCTTCTTCTGAAATGTCATTTTAACGTCTCAAAAATTTCACAACTATCGACACAATTGATAAAAATGGAACATGTTTCCCCAGAACAAATGCTATACCAGACATCTGTTTTTGAACGCACATCTCTGAGTTCGTGTATGAACTCTAATTATGTTAGCCCTTGATTTAGATTTAACTTCACAACTTGCGTGATACTCTTGGAAGGTCTGTATGCATTCCCTGCACCGTTCTCAAACATCTAAACACAGTCATGTGCATGTTCAGGCTTTCCAAGTTTAAGTTCCTGTTACTGTACATATCATGCTTTTTTTTTTTTTTTTACGCTGGGAATTTGCTGGTGGGTTTGGTGCGTCGATGTGGTCAAGAGCGCCATGACATCGCAGCTCCCCACTTTTATAACTTCCCAGGATTGAGTATAGTCTCCTTCATGGCTCTTTGTCATTTAACTCACCAGGACTCTATGGCGTTATTTACCTAGTTAAATAAATGCCGAGATAGAGCTGTGTTTTGTGATGGCTTGAATGGCATGCCTGGAGCTCACTCTTGCTTTTGTTTTTTCTTTGTTACAGCTATATTATGAAGTTGCTCTTCACCAAAGAAAGAGTGATGAAGCTGAGGGAGGGCCAGTAGAGAGCTGCTGATACATTCGAGTGGCTGGTTCCTGTACCCTAGTTGCGCATATTGCTTGTTCAAAAAAAAAGAGACTTTTTTTTTGTACCTGCTGCTTGCTTATGCTCCTGTGCTTATAAGCACACAAATTGGGAGCATGCTATCGCATCCAGCAGGCACATGGCATGTTGATCATGCCTAACGTGCATATGTAAAGTGTGCACAATTTTTTAATAAATACTGTGATCTCTTAGTAAAACATTGTGTACCAGATTACTTTGCGAAAGTAGCTGTAGATTGTCAATGTATTTGTGTCAATAAGGGTGGCTGTGCATTGTCAATTCATTATATTACCAGTTGTGCTTTGCTGCTGAACTTATATTATGACTCGTACTGTGCATGCAGTGTGCAGAATGGAACTTGTCCGGGCGTGTGTTTTCCCTTGAATATTTGAGAGAATCGTGCTATACTTCTAACACTTAATAAATGTGGGTTAACAGCTGCAGGGCCATTTAAAGCAACGTTAAAGAGAAGATCCATTTCTCTTGTTAGTAAATTGCCCTTTGACAATAACAATGGAAGACACCTCTCTTGCCATACACTCTCTTGGTAATCCAGTAAACATGCAAAAAGAAAGTTCAAGTGGCAAACTATCTTTGGCCAAAAAACATTCTCAAGTAGAGGCTGTGACAATATCTGTAAGATGGCACCTAAAGAGCTATCAAAATCGTTCTTGACACTTCTATGCCTTGTCGGTCTCTTGCACGATTGACACAGTGATGGAAATCTCTCGCGCAGCCAGTGGGCAGCGTGTAAACTAGGTATACCCCCTCCTCGGGAATTCCGAGGTTGCATTGACTGCATTCATTCCGATCTCCATGAAGACCCCAGGAATACAGCCACGTCAAGCGTTCTACATGTAGCACCCTATCCAACCTGCATAGAGAGGTCAAACACCTGAAACGAAGGTAACGCTGGCTGAGCCCCTGGCCTCATTGTGTTTTGTCAAACTCCTGAGAAGGGCCAATGCTAAAGACTCATGCCGGCTCGAAAGACCTCGTTCCCATTTACAAGGTGAGCTGTGCACAAATGTGCACAGACTACCTCCCATGGGTACGAACGAAAAGAGCATAAGCAGGCTACAAACACAACCAAACTATATCGTTGCGAGTGATGTTTTTGTTTTACTTGTGAAAGCAAACAACGAATTGTTAAAAAGCAATATTGAATTGTGACAACGATAATTTGTGCATGACTGTCTGTTTTGCCTTAATGCTGAAGTAGAAATGTATTGAAACTGCCTAGAAGATTCGGTGAATCCCATGTACAATGGGAATCAACGTTATGCGAAGCATGTTGAGGGAAAGTGACCGCGTTGCAATTTTTTTTATACTGAGTGACACATCATGGAATCACGCTAAATATATGTACAAATGTTGCACGCACAGACACATGTTGAAGAGTTGCAGATGTTTATATAACCAGTTGTTGGCACGTGCGCAATGAGGCCAACTAGAACATGCATATTAGCAACACCAGAAGCTGACATGAAGCGCTGATGCTCGCGAGGAGGCTGACCTTGGACACTGCTACATAAATGAACTTCAGCGCATGGCAACTAACCACAATTGACCTGACACAACAGCTGTATCAAAAAAGTACATATGTAATTTTTATAAAATTGGGTAGGCAGCACAGCAACCACTATTGATGTTTCACGAAGATGAGCGTGTATTTGAAAAGTAGTTCCGAGACCAGGCGTAGCTCTGTGGTAAATGCTTCCTTGCCACGCAGAATGCTTGGGTTCAATTCCAGTTGGGACCCTGACATTTATTATTTGCATTCATCGGGTCGACGCTACCGGTGTCGGGTATTTCGCAACGCTCGCGCGTTGAAATTGCCCATGTGTGTTCTCTTCGTTTCTAGGTAGACAGTACTAAGTTTCAATCACCTGTGGCACATTCCCGCATACCAGTGGCACATACCCGCCTGTGGGTGTGTGCCACTGTCTGGCGGGAAGTGTTTAACGACATACGCAACGAAATTGTGACATTTATTCACATCTTGACCAGCACATTATGTTTGTCAAACCATCTTACCCTCTCATGCTAATTTTGGTTCACGCTAAGTTAGGGGGGTGACCACAAGAGCACCCAAACGTAATCGGATAGATGATAGATGATAGATAGATGATAGACAAACAGGCTGACAGACAGATAGATATGCTCAGTCTCCAAAGTTTGCTAATAAATGCTTTGCATTTAAAATTACATGCATTTAGGAGGTAGATATAGTGTATTCGAGTTCATTTCAGTCGGCATCTCTTCTTGCAATGAAACTGAATAACAACTGTATTCCAACTCGACATTTTTGCAGTTTTTTAAGAAATGAAGTAGTTTTTGTCATAATTTGATAAAAACTTGCAAAAACAAAAGGACATTATTTCATATGTGTACACCATTCTAGTTCAGTGGCTTCGTATCGATGTTTGGTTTATTCAGGTATTAAATTAGCCTTCTGTTTTTTTTTGTGATTATATAATCAATCGGCTCTTTATTTCATACAAATGTATGTCTCGGATACAAGGACAAAAGGCAGATGTCCTTTGCCCGACGGAACCCCAGCATCCAAAAGCACCACTCGGAGCATGGTCAAAGAAATACAAATAACACTCCAATAATACATGTTTAACATTGTTTTTGTACAGAGTGATCCAAGTACATACTTGTACAGTAATAAGTAAGGAGTTGTAATGCTACAAATAATGCAACCAGAGAAACATGTCATATGATTCCTATATACATAACTTGTCAATCTTGAGGGCAGGATAGAAGATAAGCTTTGATATATTTTCTGAAAGATTTCAGAGACAAATATCTCTGTGCAATTTCTATTACATATGAATGTTTGTTGAGAAGAATGGGAATTAAATATGTGAGTGCCTGCGTTCCATTAGGTGGAACATGTAATGGTGCACTTGTAACAAAGAACTGATTTTGCAATATTTAAAGAGGGGAAAAAAAGTGTTTCATGTTTTCTTTAAAAAGATATAGTGAACAACTTAAAAGAACATTCCAGACAGTAATCACACAAATCGGCTATTTGCGTGTTTTCTTGGTTCCCTGGCTTCTTTCGTCATCTCTTTAGCCCCCTAATGACCAAATACTTTAGATTGTGGTCTATCTGACTCGACCATGTAATAATGTTGCACCTCTGTTATATGCTAAAACCGCCTTAAGAACATTAACTCTGTCTATGCAGTCCAGTTTGAAAATTAGAATGGTTCTTGGGGTTTCATACCTAAGAACACAATTCCTTGTGTTCTTCAAAAGTGCCACTGTCCCTTGGCATTCTGAGCAGACACAGTTACGCGGTCCCAATTTGTAGAAGCTGCACAAGTGTAGCCATTGCCACTACGGATATCATTCTCTCCTAGCGCGGTGACAAGGAGCGAGAGCAAATTTTTCTTGCTGGAGTGCTCGCAGGAGTGCTCCCTGTTTCATTTTTGTTAATAGCCGAAGTGTGTCAATTTGCATTTATACTGTGCTTTCTCATCAGTTCCATTGACTTCTCAACAACAACAAAAAAACGTTGCAACAAAAATAAGGCTCAACTGAACTCAATATAAATGCATTTCGATAAAAAAAACAAAAATCGCCTGAGGCAGAAAGCTCGGGGTGCTCTGTCTGAGGAAAAGGAGCTTGGCTGCATGCCAGTTGGTCTTGAAGACCTGGTATTTTTGGCTCAATTAAGTCGCGAATAAATGTGTGGAGTATGGAATTAAAAACCTTATAATGCCGATCAACAACAAAAAAATCCATTTGTTTTTTTTTCTTTAATCTTCCCCGTGTATACTGAAGCGTGATTTTCGGTGTATCCACCCGGCTTAAACTCGCCATGTGGAATTGAGAGACTGTTCAGGTGAGCTCATTGGTACAAATCAATTAGAAAACACAGCGCTAAGGAACACAACGCACACGAGACAAGAACACGCGTCCTCGTTCTTGTCTCATTTATTTTGTGTTCCTTAAACGCCGCGTTTCCTATTGTTTCCATCAACGAAGTGTTTGCAGTGGGTTCGAAATGTAGATCACAAATGTAGACCTGGAGTGCCATTTGGAAGGATTTTTGTGAAATGACACCACGCCTCAAAAACTGCAGAGTTTTTTGGAGCTTCGCATAGCTGCCGATCGTATGCATTCTCCTTGGAAGTATATTTACTTCGGCACTTCACTCCGCAGTAGATTGTGCAAGCCATGGTCCAAACAAACGCACAACACCCCTCACATACTTTTTTTGGTTGCGCCTCCGGAGCAATAATTGCCTAAATTTAGCAGAAACACACACAATAACAATGCAAAGTCCCGCATCGGTCGCAAGCTATCCAATCCGAAGTCAATACAAGCTTTTTACGGCAGGTATGTCGGCGCGTGTTTTGTCTGCGTTATCGAAGTGCAAACCGACCTTGTTTACTGGATGCTTGGTGCGCAAAGTGCGCGTGAGCAACAGCCATCACTCACTGGTGCTTTCGAACAGGCTGTGCTCATCAAATTTCTCTGGCAGCGCAGCGTCACATGACGGTAATTTCGTTTTATAGTGGCGTGTGTAATGTGGTCGTTTTCCGGCCCTGTCATCAAGTTTCGAGTCGGCGTTTTCCTTGCCAGCTACTGCTTAGTGTGCTACGTCACGTAATTAAAGTTTTAGCGCGTAAATTGGAGGCTGTGATGTACAGTATTTAGTGTTCTGGCGCAAATATTAAGTACTTGTGTTGCATCGAAAACATGGCTTCATTTAGCGGTGGTCTTGGCTCACTCGGGGGGTCTTCAGTTCGAACTGCGGGCTGTTGCTACCGGAGTACTTCAACGACTGGTAGCACCAAGAATGTTTTACAAAAAAATGAAACACCTTTGGGTCGTGCGAACTTCCTGTAAGCTCGGGTAGTGTAGTAACGTCAGGTTGCGCGGAAGAAATTTTCAGAATTAAAGTGTGTGCCACGATAGCTTTGCGCTTTCGACTTGCATTACCAAACCTCTGACTTTGTATGGTATTAAAAAAAACAAAAACGTGTCATAACTCCACGCTTAGAAAACGTAGAACCAAAACATGTAAAAATAAAGCAATGATATTGATCTCATACATAGCGTTTTGAAACTTGTATACATGCTTGTAATAAGTTGTCCTCGGTGATCGCTGAAACGAGTTAGCAGGTGCTTGTGAAAGAACACTAAATGCGGAAACACGTTCTGATCGTTCATGGTGTCAAGCACAAGTCGTATGATATTACACAATTACTCTCTTGACATTTAAACTTCACATAGCAGTGCAGCCATCCAGGACCATACCCAGGAATGATTTTTTTGGGGGTGTTTATCTGTAGCCTAAGTTAACAGCTGGTTGGCGGTGGGACGACGCGTAAATAGTTTGGTACCACCCGAAAAGTTAAGGCATGAAAACTTTTCGGGGGATGTAAGAACCCCCTGAACACCGCCTAGTTACGACCCTGCAGCGACCTGTGTTGCTGAGCAACATTCTTTTTATTTATTTTTTGTCCCTACGGAAATTTGTGATATGTTGTTATTGCCACCCTTCTTTCTGGCAGACACCGCATAATTTTTCGAACGTAATGTAATGATTTGTGCATTATTACATCATTAAGTTTCTATAAACGGTAACGAAGAGCGTTCGTGTTTCGACGTTTAAGGACACTTCGTAATGTAGATTAATTTTAAAATGCACAGCATTGGCCATTACGTCTACGCTATTTCGACGGCATAGCCGGCCCGGCCATATTTCGACGGGTCCCGACCAAAAATCGCTCCCGCCGTTGAGACCAGAGCGAAAATTTCCAACATGTTGGAAGTGCGCCACGGATTGCTGTGGCGTGAGCGAACTGGCCTTTTTTTCGCTGCGAGCGAATCCGCCACTGAAAATCGCTACTTTTTGTGCCATGTGAAACGACCTTAACACAAATTGAGAGCGACATTTGCAGCTGATGTGATTCTTGCCTCGAGTTGTGGTCACGTGCTGTCGCTGCGCTTAATATATATAGTCTGCTAATGTTACACAGTAGCCACACTAGCGCGCGCAGGAATCAACGGAATAGAACATGTAGTTTCATACAAACTCTAGAGGATAGAGCGATCGCGTTCCGTTACGCACGTTGACGTAACTTTTTTACCCGTGCCGTCCCTCCCTGTACAGTTTCCAGTTCGTTCGCCGTGACGAGAAAAGAGAGAAAGCGTGCAACAAATCCCTTTAACTCTGGTCAGCCTTGACGGATTCGCGAAATTTTTGCGGCAATCGATTGGTGAGGCAATGAACTCTGATACTGAGGTCATTCGACGATCACATGGTGATTTGGTTCACGAACCCTTTAACACCATGCAGCCAGATATATCGTGTAATGTTTGTTACTCACAGTAAGTCACTCCCAAACCGCGACTGATAATTTGGCCGGCGGTGACAGTACGACACCTCTGCTGTCGGGCCTGTGAGCCGAATTGCCATTGCTTCTCTGCACCACAACTACGTTTATTTTGTTGCAAAAGTTCTTTCAAACGTACGATGTACTGGTTGGACATCGCACCTCACCGCTTATTTCAGTACGCAGCTCACGGCAGACCGACCACTGTCGGTGGTCTATAGTGGCTACAATGCTAAACTGCTGACCCGAAGGTCGTGGGATTGAATCCTGGCCGAGGAGGCGGCATTTCGATAGAAGCGAAATGCTCGGGGCCAGTGTACCTACATTCAAGTGCACCTTAAGGAACCCAAGGTGATCTAAATTTCCGGCGCCTTCTATTACAGTGCCCTCATACTCGTATCATGGTTTTGGTACGTAAAACCCCAAACGTTTCATGTTACAGCTCATGTGAAGTTAACTGATGGTGTCATTAATTACGTAGGAATTATTCATAATACCATTAGACCTCTCCGCGCGCGCACACACACACACACACACACACACACACACACACACACACACACACACACACACACACACACACACACACACACACACACACACACACACACACACACACACACACACACACACACACACACACACACACACACACACACACACACACACACACACACACACACACACACACTCTGAACCATGGCCTTGCGGTTTTGAACGCAGGAATGTCAGGCGGGTCGCGCGGTGCCACTGATGAGTGGTCGCCTACCAGCCTCGAAGAGTCCTATCGGCGCTGCTTCGTGGGTAACGACCTTTCGGCGAAGTACAAGTTGGCCAGGCCCATAGTGCCGCCTGCCATGGTCGCAGACATCGTAGAGTACGCAAACGAAACGGTACGTAGGGGTGGCAGCAAACAACGTTTTCGCTAATTGGCGCAACTAACAAAATAGTGACGGAAACTAGGAGATATAACGAAGGCACCGACATATGACGCTCCTGATTTTTTTTTCACTTGTATCCTTTCACTTTATCGCCTGGTTTTCTTCGCTTTTTGCATATATTATTATGTACTGGCGTTTCACTCGTCCACTTCAATTTCATTCATTGATTCATTCGGTGCCTGTACTATAGCGTTGGTTAAGAACTTAGACGCTTTGCTGATTTAATTTATATAAACAAATGTGAAGAGCCTTTCCTCTCTATCTGACTACTAACTTAGCTAGGTGAGCTTTATTGAATCGTGGAGGAACTGAAAAACACGCGATTAAAAAGCAGACCGTTATCAGTGTTGTCTGTTTACAGACTGGGACAAAGCTGACCTCCGAGAGCGATGTCGCGCGTGAAACCGACTCCCGCGAATTGTCGGCATGCTGCTTTCACACGGAAGCTGGCATCACTGTGTGTTACTCCTTTTACTGGCAGTCGCGCAACGTTTACGAAATTGCGCAACTGCCGGGTCTCAGTCGCGCAACTTTGTGCATTTCAGTAGAAAACCAACAGGCCCAAATTGCAACCTCAATGAACTTCACTATCTCTGCATGTTTAAAACTTCCCGCCCCTTTCCCCAGTGTAAGGTAGCATACCAGTACTTCTAGACTGGTTAACATCCCTGCATTTCCTGTACCTTCTGTTCCTTCCTTCCTTCAACATATGGTTCCACAATACTTGTTCTCTAACCGGCACACCAGGTCTCCCATCTATGAGGCCCAGCTTTCCGTCAAAGAGCGAAAAACCAATGTCCCTTTAGAGCAGTGGTTTTTAGCCGTGGATGTTGCGGGTACCCTTTGAGGGCCGCTGAAAGTGATGTGGGACCCCTTGCGGTAAGAGAGGAAAGGGGGGGGGGGGCATATATCAACGCAACGTGCAGCCTAAAAAGGGCATTTCATTTCTTCCTGGCAAAGTATGGGTTGGCGTGGATTCGTCTAGCTGAAGTGACTTGCCAATTCGACCAGAGCAGCTTGTGAATAAGTTGTTCGTTCTGCGGGCAAACACAGCCTGTTTCTAGCGATGTTAGCTCTTCAAAAATACAAGCCTAGAATAAGAATGCTCGCGTGCCTACGTCGTAGGAGTGAGTGAGTAGAACAACTTTATTGACGATCCGGCATAAAGGAGGTAGTGGAATTTACGCGAGGCATTAGCGTGCTCGGACGTCCTGGAGCTGCAACCTGCTCTCGTCAAACCTGTGGGGGCGCCGCTTTCGGCCACTGGCATTCCAGGATGCTAAGCGCGTGCGAGACCACAAAGAAAAAAAGAAAGTTTACAACTGTATTGTAAAAAAAAAAAGAAATATAAGTTAGCTCCGCCGCAATGTGATAGTGCTTTGCGGTGAAGCCTACACCAAGTCAGAAGGGTTTCTCTCACGAGATCTAAAGGGCCTCCAGAGACCGCGTTTTCTTTTTTTTCCCGTTCTTTTTTCTTTCGCGAGGACGCGTTTTGTGGAATTCCCCAGATATGGATGTGTATTCTCCCTGGGTCCAATAACCCCATTAGCGAACAATTTCAGTAGGTTCAAGAAGTGTGAGGAGGACAATGGAAGTGCTAATGAGGGCAGTGGCGTCCTGCTGCCCTTGCACTGCTTATCCATGAATTGCGAGTAAGTGTGATGGATAAGGGCATGGGAGAAAACCCACAAGGACACAACGTATTCTAACGAAGTTCACTTCTTATACACCGCCTTCTTTTCCTCTCCTATATTGCATGCGACAGGTTTTATGCAAGGATGGTCTGTGCGCAGACGTCGGATGTGGTCCCGGACAAAGCACGGAGCTTTTCTGTCCGCACTTCAGGAAGGTCGTGGGCACCGACATCAGCGAGACGCAGATTGAAATTGCTCGAGCAGCTTGCACCGCCAAGAACGTGAGCTTCGAGTGAGTGATGAGCCTCCAGAATGAAAAGCGAAGCATAGCGTACAAGTAGCTGGTTATCGTAGCATGTATGTTCGGTTTGCCACCACTACAGTGTTGAATCAGGTGAGCAAAAAGACACCATTTCCGCGACGAGGTCTTTCCCATACCTCATTCACAACCTCCCCCGCCTTCATCTTTTTACTGAATATACTTTTTTTGCTGCTTATAAAGTTATGTGACATAGGCACTCATAGAAGGGCGTCACGACGACACACAATTTTGCGCAACTGTTCTTATTTCAGCCGCGCGACCTTGTGTGCTTCAGTGGTAAAGGAACAGGCCCAAATTGCATTTAGTGAATATCATTATATGGGTAGCAAACCGAACATATCAGTGACGGGACCACAGGAAACGAAACTTGCTACTTTTTGCCCTGCCCCTTGCTTACCAGGCAGCGTTATACTAGAGGTGTTTTGTTTTATTGCGCCATTGTTGTTCCGCTTGTATTCACAAAGAACAATATGAAACCTCCAAGAGAAGATGCGGAAACGTAATCGCTAAAACTTACTCCTCCTCATTATTACACTTTTTTTTTACAGCGAGAGTTGTTATAAGATCACGACCAGAGTCGCGTGTGGCGTAGCCGTCGGCCGCCGCCGCTGGTGTCCGTAACCACTACCACGCAAAATGAGAAAATAAGCTAAGTAAATAAAAACAGCAAGGACAAAGTGGAATTCAAACCCCAGTCACCTGCATGCCAGCCCAGTATTCCACCACTGATCTATGCCGGTGCTTAGAACTCCGTTGCAAACTGTTCATAAGCAGTATTCATGTCGAGAGAGTAATCACATTAATGTATGTAACAAAGCGCTTTAAAACAGCTAAGAAACGGCCAGGCGTCACACATTGTGAATTGCGTAACGAGTGGGTCGTCGAATGGTACAACCCCATTGCAATAGCACTAGACATAATTTTTCATCGTCGTCACCCACAGCATAAAAAAATTGCCCGAAATTCTTTGCAAGTGTGTAGCGGGTACCACGCTTTTCCGAAGAATGACAAAAGATGGCAGAGTGAATGCCTCACTACTACACAAAAATTATGATTTATGGTGCAGTGGGTACCCTGCAAGTGTATGTGTAGCAGTTACCCAAATAGTGTTTAAAAAGCGCTCTGAAAGGCCGCTCTTTCAGCTTTCACTGGGACTCTGCTGCGCGATCCATGCAGGCCTGGTGAATTGTTGTTGTTTTCTTCTGTTGCAAATGACTGGCCCATGGCTTCATATGAAATGCGAAGAAAGTTCTAAACCTTCGCTTCACCTTATTGTTATCAATACTGCGGGAAGGCTGACAGCGTTTTACACTTTCAGTCAACGTGTGTCACTATAAATGATTTTTTGACCTATCGTCGTTAATATCGTTCAAAGGCTGACAACAACCTAAACTTATTTCTAACGTGTGTCATGACAAGTATACCGTGCAAGTACCGTCTAAAGTTAGCCAAAAGTACACTTCAAACGAACCCGTCCGGAAGTTCTGTGAAAGAACCTCTCCCACTCATTTTAGACGTGCACGTTGCGAAACGCGCGAGACGCCATCGGACGCGTGGTGCGTGTTTTAATTTTCGTGCGAGCTATATATGTATTCCCGTCAGTGGCGTAGCCAGGGGGTGGCACACCCAGCCCGTGCTCCCCCCACCCTCGCCAATTTTCTTATCGCATGCCAGTAAGAACCCGAAATGACCCTCGATCGCATTTGCCTGCCTGGCTTTCTCTTCAGATCAAGAAGGTCCCCCCCCCCCCCCTATAAATTATGCATACACCCCTGACGATACTGTTGTTTCCGCTAAGTATCTTCTCAAAACGTATTTCATTGTTGCGAAAATTCGCTATAGCCGTAAGCGTAGTGCGTATATATCCCGCAGGGTGTCCAACGCCGAATCGCTTCCTTTCGACGATGGCACCGTGGCTCTGGTGTCGACGGTTAATGCGCTGCATTGGTTCCGCTGGGATGCCTTCTTTCCTGAGGTTCGCCGGATTCTGGTGGATGGCGGCGTCTTCTGTCCGTCGCTGTTCCGGCTACGTGCCGTGGCCGAGCCAGGACTTGAGGACTGTCTCGAAGAGGTGCATGCCAATGATATTTTGCGGTGTATAACATCCGTCAAATCATTAGAACGCCTTTCAAACATAGCGTTGCCACATTACGGGGTGATAACAGATACCTTTAGCTAAGGCGTCCTCAGCAGCTCTGCGGATTTGGGCTGCTATCGTAAATGGCTAGCAGTCTGCGTTCACGGAGACGCTGCAGACGCAGGTGGCTGGCCATTTTCAGTGAAAGCCTGCATTACAGCGGCTCCGCGAACGCAAGCTGCCAGCAGCCATTTCCAACAGGAGCCTGCGTTCGCAGAGCTGCTGCGTACGCACAACTAATCATCATAATCGGGCATTCCACCATCAACTGCGTTCACTGCAGGGCAACGACCTCTCCTATCTTTTGTCAATCAACCCGATCCTGTGCTTGTGGTCCAACTAAAACTGATTTATCTTCTTAGTACGGGTCGGGCTCAGCGTGAAAACAAGTGGGTACATTGCGTTTGTAACGGCGTTGCGTACGTAAAAACTCCGCCTTTCATTCATAGTGCCAACAACAGCATAGTGCTCACTATAGCACATGTGCGGAAGCGCTTTTTGGTAAACCTTTATGGTTCTTTTGTACAGAATGCCGCTTCGGACGCAGCGTGTGCCGTGATTTTATACACCGTGTAAAATGGAGCGCACATCCTACTATGCTGAAAAACAAACAGTATACATTGTTTACTGTCATGTGGGTGAACGACAAAGAATCCAAGAAAAACGGTAGTCATCACTCATCACATATGTGCGTTGGCCGAAGCGTATCATAAGGGCAGACCACTCAGACCTAAAACATGCTGCGTGAATGCGTTTCAGCTACCGCCGCGTGTACGCGTTCAACTGTTGTCTTGTTACTTTAGAGCAGCTGGTTGTTAAAGTGACGGGACCCCTCATGCCTCTTACACACTGCGTAAAGGGCTAGATATATAGCCAGGACGTTTGATCTTTTTCGTAAAGTTTCTGGGATATAGCTACCCCTTACCAGAGACCTAACTTATAGAGTGTAGTGAAGGCCAAAAAGAGTAGTTCAATTAATATACAGATGAAGACGTGGTATGTTTCTTTTCCACATTGTATACATATATATATAGCTCGTTGGATTGATTGAATGCGACTGTTATGACGACTCACTCGTTGCCCACTCATACAGGACTTCCTTTCAAACACTGACGGATATGGAGATTTTTACAGTGTAATTTTTTATGAACGGGAACCGTGGCTTGCGCTCTAGCGCGGCTGCTATACAACACCATCAGCTGACAGATATAGAAATCGCATCCGCTTTTGGCGCTATCGCACGTTGAAAGACCAGAGCGGGAGCATAATCTAGCAGGACTTGTCCAAAGGCCATGGCTTGTCGTTTCGTTTGCTAACAGATGGTGTGAAAAGCGGGCACGCTTTCTTTATCTGTCGGCTGATGGGGCTGTATGCCGCCGGCAGCAGAGCGCAGGCCACGCGCTCGCGTGTTCCCTTTCATAAAAATGGACACAGTACGTGCATAAATGCATTGACTCTCGTTTGAAGCTTGTGGTCGCGTACACAGCTGGTATACTTATCTATCAAGCAGGCGTTATAGAAGATTCCTTTTGATCAGTCGCAGCAGTGGCAGAATACAGCCGAGGCTTATCACAGCTCGGTTTCAAGATCTGATTTTGTCCTTTTAGACCCGATTTTTCTTTTTCTTCCAAACTAGACAGCTGTATGCTGCTTTTTTGTTTGTTTTTACATACGTTGGTGACAGGTGACTTCCACAAAGTTACACAAGATCCTCATTTCAGAATATGGTGCCTATACGAAAGGAGAGAAACCTGTCGGACTTTGCCCGCCCCATCGTACCCTGATATTGTAAACATATAAACCTATGTCAACTGTAAAAGTGACATCAGCTTACCGGGTAGCCGATAAATGAAACCGTTGCACCGAGTGAGTGGAACTGCCTCGATCGAGATGATATTGCGCCCGTACGTGTGGTACGCATATCCCACTGTGTGGGATATGCGTTGTCTACAAGTTCGAAAGAAAAAGCGGGACCTTCTTTTGACACGGTATGTATTGCCAAGTGCAGGTATATAATAATAATAATAATAATAATAATAATAATAATAATAATAATAATAATAATAATAATAATAATAATAATATTAATAATAATGTCTGTGTTTTCATGTGCCAAAACTTGTGAGGCATGCCATAGAGAAGGGCTCCGGAAATTCAGACTAGCTGATGTTTTTTAACTTGCACTGACATCGCACAGTACACGGACCTCTATCCATTTCGCCTCCATAGGAATGCAGCCGCCGCAGTCGGACTCGAACCCGCGACCTTCGGTTCAGCAACCGAGCGGCGTATCTAACTGAGGCGGACTACGAAGATTAGTAGTAAGCGTTACTTGTAGTAAAAAAATATGCAAAATAATTGACACCATGTTGTTTTTTTCTTTTGTAGTCGTGACAGTCAGCTTAAAATTGTGCGTTTTATTATTTTTTTGTCCTATAGTTTCGGTATCAGGAGTTCGAAGGCTATCCTGACTGCTCAGCACGACTTCTGGACGTATGGCTACGAGAAGACAGAAGTGCCCTTCAGTGACGTTCGAAAGTGAGTTTACGATGCAATGGAGCGTTAGGCCTTCTTAAAACGGTGCATTTTTTCTCGCAATTTTCGCACTTATTGCGGCCTCGCACGTGCGGTAAACATTCCGCAAACTTCTTCGAACGCTTCATTTTCTTTCGGCCAACTTGCGAAATCAGAAGTGGACGGAGGGAACAGCGCGTGCATCGTCAGACACGCGATAAACGTTTCACGAGCGCACGTCGTTTTGCTTCGCTTAATTAAAGTGATTCTTCGCATGTATATATGCGGCGCGAATAGTTTATTCTTACACTAAGCGCTTGAAAATGCGAAAATTGCGTGCAGCTGTCGCGATCGACCCATGTAGGAACGGAAATGAGAATTCCGCATTAGCAAAACAGTCGCGACGGCATGCGAAGCGTGCAAGTGCTCCCGCAGGACTCGCGCACATTTACGCTCACACCTGCCCTGCGTCAGTGCTAGTCACGCTCCTTTTTTCGCCTTCGTATCCCTTTTGCCAGAGTTTGCAAGCGTACGGACGTATAAGTTACGTCCGCTAGACGTCCGCACGCCAGTGACAAAGGCGGATACGGAGCAGACGTCCATAGGACGTCCGCTCCACGTCCTCACCACGATGGGGAGTGGGCTGCTCGTTTGCTTTGTACGCTTGCGTGGAAAACTTGAGAAAAAAAATGTTGGAGGAAGGGAAGGGCTTGTTGACCCTTCCCCACACCTCTTCCGCACTTGATGTGCTAATGCCTCCTCCGCCGTGGTGCTTAGAAATGATTGCCTTGTGAATTTCGAAGCACCTCTGCGAACTGCAGAACCAGTTGTGGGAGTCGCGTCGATGGAAAGACGAATCCCAACATGAAAACGTAACGACTGTTTATTCTATCAGTAGCTGTAGCGGTCGAGCTCACCGACGCTATGCTTGTCTGGATAGCGCAGGATCTTGTTGCGATCTTGTTGCTGCGCCTTGCGATCTTGTTGCTGCATCCTGCTTTAGTATATCCACCGCCGGCAACGCGTATTACTGGTGATGCATCGGTGGCGTTGTATTTAATCGGAAGACGATGCAACTTGTAGCCATGTCAGGTCGAGCTGAATGATAACGAGATGGGGGCTGCGCAGGGACATGCGCAAAAGTGTCGTCACAAAGGCATCGCCTTTATTTTAGCGTGAATAACTACAATTCTGAACACCATTCCCCTCGCCAACATCTGTCGCGTTTTTTTTTCGGTGTTGCGTAACAGTCACTCTTAGAATAAAGTGATCGTATACTTACAACAGCTGTCATTAGTTGTGTTAGAAGTTGTGGTAGCTTTGCTTAAGTAGCGCATTTCATTACAAAAATCGCGCATGCCCGTCTGTTACATGCGAATAAAATGCATATTGCTAACAATAGGAAAGAAGGAGATATATAATGGCTCGTTTTTTTTAATTCTGGGAAGAACTAATGCACAATGACGCCAAGGAAAGTACGGATGTTGTTATTTTTGGTAATTGTATTGTAAAATGTGGAAAAAGAAAAGTGGACGGAAAGATAACTTGCTGGCGGCAGAGACAGACCCTGCGACCATCGGACGTGTTATTCGAAGGTCGGAGGTTTGGCTTTTACCAGCGGAAAGTCATCTTTGCGTCCGCTTTTCTTTCGTCACATTTTACTTTACGACTACTACTCGTAAAGTAAATTGGCGCTGTTTTCTATGTGAATCATGTCGTACCAACTCGCCCAAGCAACCACGTTAGCTACTAATAGCATCCCCTGTACTTTTCCTGGCGTCATTTTCTGTTAGTTATCATTGATATACTTTTCCTGGCATCATTTTCTGTTAGTTATCATTGATAATAAGGTAAGTAAACTAAAAGCATCCCTATAACTATGACTACATTTGTTGTGGTTATCCGCCAGATCGATCGCGGTAATTGTGAATTACGACTGTCGTTCAAGGTGGCCGTGCACAGTCTGCTGGTGTTTCAAAAGTACAAACATTTAAGTTGGTGTACTAAAGTAATCGCACCAGTCCCCCTATTTCTCTCACTCTTGTCTCTTTTTTCTTTTGTGCCTGCCCTACCGTGGCGAATCTAGTGGTTGTCTATCTAGTCTGTCTGTCCGTCCGTATCGTAGTCGTATCTATCTATCTATCTATCTATCTATCTATCTATCTATCTATCTATCTATCTATCTATCTATCTATCTATCTATCTATCTATCTATCTATCTATCTATCTATCTATCTATCTATCTATCTATCTATCTATCTATCTATCTAATCTATCTATCTATCTATCTATCTATCTATCTATCTATCTATCTATCTATCTATCTATCTATCTATCTATCTATCTATCTTCTGTGCTTACAGGAAGGACTACGTCGTCAATGAGATGACGACACTGTCGGCTGTTTTGGCGTGCGTGAGGACTTGGAGTTTTGTTATACGGATGGAAAAAAGGAACCCGAGCGTGCCAGGCAGGCCCTGGAAAGGCTAGAGACGAGGTAACTAGATTAGATGCTGATTCTCAAATTGTGGCTCACGCCCACCCTGAGGTATAGACCAAGGTTCGGCTAGATTAGCAAGAATATTCAAAATATAGAGAAGAATAACAATTTAGTTGAACAAAAAAACTTTATATCAGAATTATTATCTTGAAACTAAAAGAGGAGTCAAATTGGTTCTTGCCAAATAAAGGATTACATTAATAAGTGCTGGCGTGACACCTCTCGAGGCATGGACGTTGACAGGGGGGGGGGGTCAAAGGAACCTTTCTGCACCTGCCCCAGAGCCACCGTCATCTCTCTCCTCCCATGCTCATCGAGACAATATCCTGCCGGCGTCCATGTTTCGAGCTGTGGGTGTTTCCGAATCTCTGTGAACAAGCGAATTGAGCTTAATATGAACGATCGCCAAAGTACACTATCTTAAAAGAAAGTTGCCTAGTGTCATGAAATAATAAAAGTTTCGGAATGACAAAAGTCACAGCTTTGTCGTAAAGGCGAAGCAATGAATGCGATAGCAACAAACTTGAACGTCACGCGAAGAATGGCTAGCAGATCGAAACGTGCCCCGCGTTGCTCACGCACAAACGACGCCTGAAACGTACTTACAGGTACAGATAAGTGCGAACAAGTGTCTCAGCTGTTACTTCGTTGTGTCTGAAACGCGCGCCCTTTTCGCAAACGGAGGCTGTGCAGAGAGCGCAGTGATCTTTGTGCGCCCGGTAACTACAACAGAATCGTTCTGGCGAAAGCCCAAGGCGTACGATTCTTCCCGACGCGAGATAAACGCACGCACAAGTAAGCATCTACACCTCCCCCCTCCCACACCCACCGTGGGGCAAAGTACGCGTGGGAGATCAACGCATGAGCGCGCGTCGCCGCGTCGTGACAATCTGGCGACGTTTGCTCATTGCGCCATCTCGCATGGTATTGCTGAAAGCTTAATAGTTCCCTCGAGATGAGCATCGCCAGCGGTGAGTGGTAGATAAAAATAGCTTACCGTTTCAACGTTGAAGGAGGTGCTCCTTCGTGGCTCAGTGGCGAACAACATGCACGCACGCAAGAGGTCGGTCGTTCAATTCTGCGCACCGTAGTCCTTGAGAGGCGAAGCTCCTTAGGCCGTGGGTTGTTCCCTTCTCCGTATGCGGTATGTATGGGCACCTCTTTATTATGACTTGCGCAATAGATGGCGTTGTGTGTATATGTCATTGGGAATTATATAACAAGATAGCGTTAGTGGTTTTCACAGCATATCCACGGAGTGAATGATGATGAGTGGGGCGAAGCGTCCGTCCGTTTGTGTGTCCAATCGTCTGTGAGTCCGAACAGACGGATGGTCAAACAAAGGCACGGACAGACGGCCGCACGGACGGACAGAAGCACAGATGTACGGACGCATGACGGACGAATGCACAAATGGATGGAGGAATGGGTGGACAGACAGACGGATGGACGCATGGATGGACGGAGGGAAGCATGGATGGACATACAGACGGATGGACGCATCGATGGACGGACGGAAGCAGGGACCTGAGGGACGCACTAACGGATGGACGGCAGCATGCGCGGACAAACAGAGGACACTTCGCCCCACTCATCATTGTTCACGCCTGCATTTGCTGTGATTATGTCTACACCATATATATATATATATATATATATATATATATATATATATATATATATATATATATATATATATATATATATATATATATATATATATATATATATATATATGTATATATATATATATATATATATATATATATATATATATATATATATATATAACAATAATGCCAAGGAAAGTAAAGGGGAAGATATTAGACCAAATTGTAATGTAAATATGAAGAAAAGTGGGTGAAAAGATAACTTGCCGTGGGCAGGATCTGAACCTGCGACCTTCGAATAACGCGTTCGATGCTCTACCACTGAGCTACCACGACAGCTATCCCCCCAGCCACATTATTGGGTATCTATGTCAATTTAAACGTGGGAGTGTTAGTCAGCGCCACTAGTAGCCATGGCGGCGAGTGTGGTACACTCTTGATGAGCCTGTTTGGCGTCACGTAGCACGTGAACTTATTACCAACTGGCAGCTGACCAATAGTCCCCCGTATACAACCTAAAGGCACCAAGTCTGCCAGTACGAGAACGAAAAACGTCACCGTATATATATACGTATATATATATATATATATATATATATATATATATATATATATATATATATATATATATATATATATATATATATATATATATATATATATATATACATATATATATATATACGGTGAACAATGGTCGTCAATGCCGGGCGACAAAATTAAGCCGAGAGTGTCCATTAAATTGCTATCGCAATAACTTTTCAAATAACTGCGAGATGCGTTAGAGACGTTAAGTCACGTCTAATCGCTGGCGTCTACAGCTCTGTGGGGAACGAACTCTCCTCAGGTTGTCAGCACCGGCTGGCGGTGCAAATATGGCACTGGGTCTGCTGATGTTGCACATATGCGCTCGAACGCCAACAAGTGCTTTTTTCTGGTTTATCAGACTACAGTTACTTCAATTCGGTAGTCTCTGGAGCCGATCGTGCTGCTCCTAATCATGGCGAATATACTACCATAGTGCTACAGGCTGCTATAGTGTACGATTCCGAAACCCTAACGCTACAGTAGGTACCCAAAGCCCGTTGATTCTTTTCGTTCCAGAATTCGCTCGAAGCTTGGCAAGCCCGGTGAAGATGATCCGGAGGTTCAGGTAGCCTACAGAGCGTCTTACATCCTGTGTCGAAAATAACATTCCTGTGGACTACCAAAACGTTTGTCGTGCTCGCGCACCTGAAGTTCAAGAAGTGCCATACGATCAAATGTCTGGCGTAAACTGCCTATATATGCAGTGGACCAATAAAGTTCTAGCGCACATTTGTAATCTATTTCTCATCACTTTGATTTCTTATAGTCTGGCGGCTAACGTAATGATGCCAATCATGACTTGAAAAAAGAAAAAAAATATATTTTTGTTTACTATAAACGTTCAGGTATTGATGTTCAGCATTGAATTATATTTCTAAGGGCCTTCGGGTTATTTTGTACAACCTTCGACGTGTGCAGGAAACGCGTACTTTGCATTAGAACCTTGGTTGAACGGAGCCTCGGTGCCCCGCACTTGAACTTGTGACGGCGGGCTCAGCTGCACAGCGGTGTAGTCACTGTGTCATCTCTGTCACTGTATGCATTTTTTAACCTTGAAATCCGAGCAGAAAATCAATGAAATGAATGCTTGTCTGGTGGTCGGATCAAATCAGCCGCATGACAAAGTATGGCATAGGAAATGCCTCTATATATACACAAAAATTACTATTTATGGCGCAGTGGGTACTCTGCAAGTGTGTCTGTGGCACTTACCCAAAAGAATGTTAAAAAAGAAGGCTCTGAAAGGCCACTTTTCGTGCTTCTACTGCGACTGTGCTGAGCGTTCAGCACAGGCCTCGACAGTATCGACACAAGTTGCATGATGGCTGCAAAATGAACGGCACCGGGTTATATAGAGCACAACAAGGCCGGCTGAAATTACGCCTTCACCCCTCCCTTCCCATGAAGAACACTTTCGGCGTCTCCCATGCTGTTTCAAGTACAACTGAAGGTACCTGCATAAAAATGGTAACGCCGCATTTCCGGAACCTTGGAGCATTTACTCTGAATATCGGTGGGTTCTGTGTAACTAACATCAGCTAGAACGGCAATGCTCTCCGGCACCCTACAGAAGGATCATAAAGAGGATGTGACCGCCATCTCTCTCTCTCTCTTTTAATTACAAAAACACCCTGCTGAGTTGATTGGCCACAGGGGGGGGGGGGTAGCTCAGGGAAGCACATCTACAGGACAGTTAGTTGGCAGATGCAGAGGCCACATTCATGACGCACGCATCACATGTGTGATGACGTTGGCCTAACTACGTCACCTCGTACGTCAGAGTGTCACACGTATAGCACGCCATTTCAGTTCCGGGCACCGCACGAGATACTAAATTACTCATCTTCCGCTTCCGGTGCAACTTGGTTCCGCTTCTTGACTCTGTCGTTCAAATCCTTCAGTCGCTTCAGCAGCCTTTCGTACTGGTACACTCCCTTGACCCGAAGGAATCGGTCGCGCAGTTGGGTTCCAGTCAATTTTACCCGATCCGCGGCCATCTTTTCGTACTTCGCGAACGACTCCGAGAAAGTCTTGAGGACCTGCTCTCTCAGAGCTGGCGGGAGCGGCGAAGTGCCATCCAGACACGCCTGGACCGTGTCGCACACGGCCACCCTCAGTGTCTCATGTTGTAGGAAAGAATTGTAGTTGTCCTCGTAGCCGAGAAACTTGCTAATCGGCGAAAAGAAGGACGCACCGGGCTCGTTCTCGAAAGGGTTTTCGTTGAGCAGCGATTGTATGGAGACGAGCACGCTTTCGATGGTCTGCATCGGGTTCCACTGTGGTCCTAACCAGGTGCCGAGAATGCTGAGGCACACCTTGCCGCTCGCGTAGAGGTTCGGGTTGAACTCTAGGCGTCCGGCATCGGTGGTCATGATGCGCACCTTGGGCGGAACCGTGGGATACGCCGAGGGACACTTCAAGACGAAGTAGAATAGTCCCCCCTCGTACGGCGTGTCGGACGGGCCCACGATGAGGGCGTGGATCTTGGTCACGTTCTCTTCTTGGGGAACGATGAAGATGCCGTACGGCGGGTGGACGTTGAATATGGCGATGTCCTTTTTGACGCGCAGCAGGCACTGCGGAGACGGCTCCTCGTTCTCGATTGCCAGCGGGTCCCAATAATTTGGATCTGCGGCGGCCATGGCTGCTTCGTGCGTCTTGCACGTGCTGCAGCCTGCACATGTGCTTGCTCGCTTGCTTGGCCCTTGTGATTTGGCTCTTACCCACTTCGGTGTATTTACCGTGGAACCGGCGGTTAATATAGAAAGAAAGTTTAGAATTGAGACGAAGAAATAAAAAAAACCGGATTGGTTGACTAGGGAATATAGAAATATTATTGTTTTTTAAAGATTACTTTAGCTACCAATGTGATGAGTATAGAACAATGCAGTGCAATGCTCTCAGTTAATAAAATTAAAGGCTGAAGTGCCAAGTTTTTAATGAAAATAATTTGAGAATAAATTCTGTTTGTGTCGCCAAAAAATTCAGATACGGCTGAGCAGACGTTCATGTTGCTGTGGCCCAGAGAAGAAGGCCCAAGCCCAAGGGAAACAATGTTTCTCGAATTAAAGAGTTTATGATCGGCGCACGCACCGACGATGAAGAATTGGGCGCGAAACTGCGCTTTAATCGTATATGAAGTGAACATATAAAACGTGTGGGGTCTCGGCGAGGCGAACGCGCGCCTTGCCACGCTACGCTCTTGGAGTGAACGGACACAGTGGACACGGTCGGTACAAAGCACACAACATACATACATTTATTAACTAATTTAGACGACGATATCGTCCGCCGAATGATACACCAATTTCAACTAACATGCTACCATACAAACAACACAACGCAGTAACACACTAAACACACAATAACATGATAAACCCACACTAACACACCCAACACACTAGCACATACCCAAGGCGGCGTCGCCAACGCCTGACCTTACACGCGGGACCCCGGCGCGAAGCCCGCGGTGCCGAGCACCGGGGACCCGCGCTACAGACAACCGTTCGCGGCAGCCGCCACGCGCAGAAGAGGCTCGCTCAACGCTCGCCCACCACCAAAGCCCGCCTTCCGCCAGGGGCCACCACCGGCGCTACCACTCTACCAACAGTGGTACTCAAAGCGAACACAACGCCATCTATCGCCCGGTGGTGGTCACCACCGAAATAACGCCCTGGGGCGAGACACGTGCGCCACGCGGTGCAGACAACTTTACAGGGGGGGTGTCAGCACCCCCACATTCCCCCAACCTTAAATCAAACCATACTCCGAAATCAAAAAATAGCTACACAAGCTTTAACAAAAAAATAATATCGCACGACCACAATGTCCTTGCACCACGACACCGCCGCCGGTCGACACTGCTGCACTGTCCGGCTAGACTTCACCTCAGTACCGGCCCCGCAACAGCAACGTTGCCATCGGCGCGACGATCTGTCGCTAGCGCCGACACGTCTTCCAGTTGCGACCAGCACTCGCGAGGGCGCCGGACTGCAGGCAGTTGCGCAGGTCCCAGGCATCTTCATCGCCCGACCTCACGACCGCATTCCTGGCCAACGACGCTGACGATGTGCAGGACAGCTGGCCGTGGATGACATCCCTCCCGCTGAATACATCGACAAAAAACAAAACTCGAAAGAAACAAAGGAGCGCGGCCCAGGGGAGGGAGCTTCAGGCTTTTCGGCCACGTGGTACGGTGGTCAGTACTGCTAGCTAATACATCGGTGGCGGCCGAGACGCCCATCAAAATAAAACAAAAATCACTTTTCCTGACCCTTGCATCGCAAGATAAAAAAAAGTGAGGGAAGCAGAGCGCAACACCTCAACGCTACGATCCATCTAGTTGTGCCACGTGCGACAGGCGGCTGCGCAGAGCCTTAGGCCTAATGAGTCGCTCGGCAACAACCGGCATCCACCCAGCACCCAGCCTAGGCGCAGAAGAGGCAGCCGCGAGGAGACGTGCACTCTGTAAGGTGGCCCTATCGCTCGCCGCACACAGCAGCTTACCGAGCGATCGGCGTCCACCGCGCCGCAATACAAGTCAGCAACGACGCCCGGCTCCCTGAGCCCAAAGAGATAGAAGAAGCTATTTACAGAAAATCGGACCACCCACGAGGATTCCGTACTCACTCGCTTCGGGCCTGGCCTACAAACCACGTGCTCTAGGCCTTGCTCACCCCAGGATGCGGACCGCATGGCTCTCGTCCTAATTCAACAACGTTTTTGAAAACTAACAACAAAAAATAAGAACACTTGCGAGCAAAAAAAAAAAAGAAAGTCAACCTGCCGACAAATTGAAACACGTTACAAAACCAATCCCCTCGCTTCTCAACAAAGCATACCACCGACGCTAGCAAAGAAGTCCCCCCTAGGCCTACTCTACTCCGGCTCTAACAAAATCCCTGTACCGAACCGCAAGAACCGTCGTCCGACACTCCAAGAGCCCCACGTTGGGCGCCAGTGTGGGGTCTCGGCGCGGCGAACGCGCGCACCGCCACGCCACGCTCTTGGAGTGACGGACACGGTGAACAGGGTCGGAACAAAGCACACAACATACATACATTTATTAACTAATTTAGACGACGATATCGTCCGCCGAATGATACACCAATTTCAACTAACATGCTACCATACAAACAACACAACGCAGTAACACACTAAACACACAATAACATGATAAACCCACACTAACACACCCAACACACTAGCACATACCCAAGGCGGCGTCGCCAACGCCTGATCCTTACACGCGGGACCCCGGCGCGAAGCCCGCGGTGCCGAGCACCGGGGACCCGCGCTACAGACAACCGTTCGCGGCAGCCGCCACGCGCAGAAGAGGCTCGCTCAACGCTCGCCCACCACCAAAGCCCGCCTTCCGCCAGGGGCCACCACCGGCGCTACCACTCTACCAACAGTGGTACTCAAAGCGAACACAACGCCATCTATCGCCCGGTGGTGGTCACCACCGAAATAACGCCCTGGGGCGAGACACGTGCGCCACGCGGTGCAGACAACTTTACAGGGGGGGTGTCAGCACCCCCACAAACGTCACAGGCACTGAGAAACCGGATGACAGAAATGTCGGTTGTGTTGAGGGGCTTTCTTGCTTGCTTGCTTGCTTGATCCTTTTTCGTGGCTCTCACCCAATAAGGGGCATTGGCCAAGAAGCCGGCGGTTAATGTAAGTCAATACCTTAAGATTATCCAGGCTAGGGAAATAGGATTATTTTGTTTTGACTTGGCGGGATTATTTGGGCACAATGTGAAACAAAAGTGAAAGAAAAGAATTAATAAAATTTTTTGAATAACTGAGGTGTAGTCGTTATACGTAATTCTTCTGAAGGTTAAGTCATTACAGTGTAATAGTTAAATATAAAATGTTAGACTGGCCAGTAAAAATCGAAAGCTGATCAATGTCTCAGCAAGGTAATCTTCTTGTGTTACATAGAACTTCGCAGAGAGCCCCGCAGATGTTCCTGTCGCCGAGTCCTAATGAAGCAGCCCCAAAGGACAGAATATTAGGAGTAGTAAGTGATATTCCTAGTTTTTTGTTTAAATAAAATTTTGAAACAATTTTTTCTTTGATTTTTAGAACGGGGGCATGTGAGAAGACAATGGTTGATATTTTCGGGTTCATTACAGCTTCAGCACAGAGGAGATGGCACCAGACCAGACCTGTTTAAGTAGAAATTAAGAGGGGGCACACAACAACGTAATTTTGTTATGGAGACTTCTAATGTACGCGTGGGACACCATTTATTATTCCATGCAAACTGCGTGCGAAAAATCTGGATTCGGTATCGTAATTTTTATACGAGTCTTCAAGATGGGAAAGTTTTCTGAACCTTGCTGCTGTTACATAAGCTGTAAGAGGCATGATTGGCACAATCAGAAGATCAAGGGATGCTCGCGCGAGTGAGTCAGCCATCTCATTTATAAGTTTACTGCGATGGCCTGGCACCCGTATCATTCGCACTTGACGAATGTTTGCTGGGATTAATGATTTAAAAGTTTCTAGTACAGCTGATTACTGTGCAAGTTTACTGTGCTTCTTCTTGTTCTTCACACGTGGCACATACCCATTGGAGGGGAATGGCCTTCAGAAGGTGGATTTTTCTCATAATTACTGTTTCATATGTTAAGTCTACTAGTTGGTTATTATAACTAGAAACTGATTTGAAGTACCAATTACTGTTCTTGGGCAAGCGTCATTAACAAGGGAATCGTCATAATCATTATCATCATCACTTCTCACCTCCTGAAGCAGTGTCGGAATTTTCTTCGTAGCCAAGGCTTCGTTTGTTTTCCCAGTACGAATGGACCACACCCATTATGTCTGACTAATGGGGGTTCTTGTTTTGAACGCCACTGTTCAACGGAACCAAGAAACGACGCCATCGAGGCCAACGTTTCTAGAATCTTGTTCTAGAAACGTTGATCGAGGCGCCCTACCTATCGTCCGTTTCGTGCACACGGAAGCGCAGTGTGAAAGCCGGGGAAAAGTGGTGCCAATTGTTTTTGCTGGAGTTTTGCCATTGCCAGGTCCAATCTGGTGACGGACCTGGCGGCTGTGTTCGCTTCCGCTGTTTTTATCTTCATATAGCCCCGTCAACAACCTGAGCTGGAAACTGGGCTGCGCACCAATCTATGACGTATGCCGGAATATTTTGTCCACCTTAGATTAACGACCAGGGCCTGCTAGGCCGCTTTCTCGATTCCTCCCCTCGCGGTATCCCAAGAACGCGTACGTATTAGGTTTGCATTTTTGTTTCCTGACGGGGGCTACCGCAGTTTTTGTATGAGCCAAGCGATGCCCCGCGGACACGCGGGGTTCTCCTACCACCAGCATATATAGCAATACATACATACATACATACATACATACATACATACATACATACATACATACATACATACATACATACATACATACATACATACATACATACATACATACATACATACATACATACATACATGCATACATACATACATACATACATACATACATACATACATACATACATACATGCATACATACATACATACATACATACATACATACATACATACACACATACATACATACATACATACATACATACATACATACATACATACAAACAAAAATACAGCGCATGTGA